GTATGTGTGTATGTGGGTATGTGTGTACGTATGCATGTATGTATGTATGTATGTATGTATGTATATAAATACGTATGTATGTATGTATGTATGTAGGTAGGTAGGTATGTATGTATGTATGTCTTTAGGTATGTATGTTGTGTCTGTTATGTATGTTATGTACGTGTTTACATGTTATGCATGTTATGCATGTTGTGTATGTTATGTATTTTGCGTAGTTGTGTTTTGTATGTTATGTATGTTATGCATGTATGCATATATGCTTGTATGCCGGTATGTCTGTATGCCTGTATGTTATGAAGGTATGATTGTACCTACGTCAGTCCGTATGTAGGTGTGTACGTACGTATTGTATGTGCGAGTGGATAGATAGATAGATCGATAGATAGATAGATAGATAGATAGATAACTCTAAACCTTGGCTTTGAACTCTAAAGAGTAGGGCCATGTTGCTGCGGATTTTCTCAGTGGCGCGGGCCGTTTCCGTTTGTTTGCCGAGCTTCCGTAGTCCCGTTGCATTCGTTTTTCAAGTCGCGCAGCGGGGTTTCGGCGCTTACAAGTTTAGGAAATCAGGCGCTTCGGTGTCTAGGGCTTGGATACAGGCGTTTATGGATCTGGTGTGTGTTTGTGTGTGTGTGTGTGTGCGTGTGTGTGTGTGTGCGTGTGTGTATGCGCTTATGGAGCTATGTTTGATCTAGCTTTCATGACTCCATGAAGCAGTTGGGAGATTCAAGAAGTGACCTGCATTTGCACAATGCATCACCCTGCTTCATCGCTTCAGCCTTGAATTCTAAACCCTAAACCCCTAAACCCTAAACCCTAACCTGAAACTCGCGGACAGGACGGCTCCATCGTGGTGCTCCCCATGCGCCTGAGGACCGCAGTTTTTGCCGCCTCGGACGGACATAAGTCTGGGTCTTGGTGAAGGACTGAGGGGTGCAAGAATGTCCTAGAACTTAGCCCTCTTCAGCTTATAAAGGCCCCATGGTAAGCAGAACTCGCAAGACTGGACCGGATCGGCAGAAGATGTCTCCATTCCCCAGGGCCCTTTAAAGTAGAGTTTTCCCGTATTTACGATGTATCTTCAATCTTGATTTTGCTATTCTTGTCATGGGTTAACTTTTCAAATTACCGAGGATGCATACCTGTCGCTGTATCTGCTAGGCTGTAGCTGGTGCCCCAGTGTCGTCAAGGCGCCCCCCAACCCTAAACCCCACACCCGAAACCCTAAACCCGAAACCCTAAACCCGAAACCCTAAACCCGAAACCCTAAACCCTAAACCCCAAACCCGAAACCCTAAACCCGAAGCCCTAAACCCGTCACTGAGATGCTCGCGCCTTTCCCATGGCCCCAGGTTACGCCTACGACAGCTGGAGTAATCCTAACTACTAATTAAGAATCCCCTGTACACTAAACTTAGCCCTTACCTTAACCTATCAAAAACTATGTTCTTTGTAGGCATTTACTGTAAATCCGAACAATATGGATTTTGTAAGGGCCCTCCAGCAAACCCTGAAATCACTTTGCTACACCAAGCCCAAAACACCCTGCAAGCCCCAAAGCTGTATAGTATGCCTTATAGTTCGTCGCCGCATAGTAACCCTTAGATGCTAAGTCTTACAATTAGTAACCCGATAGCAACCCCCAGATGGTCAGCCTTACAGTAAGCTTCATTGGACCTTAAAAGCAGGAGAGGGGATCCGAACGGAGACTGCAGTCGAGCATGGTTCTCCGTTCACATAGGCCAGGAAGTCCGAGGTTTGGTTTGGAGGGCTTCGGGTGTAGAGTGTTTTAGGTGCCTGTTAGGTGTTGTCCGCGGTTTCTGGGTATTTTTGGTGGCTTTAAGGTTTGATTTGGGGTTTCAGAGTTTTCGGGTTTGGGCTTTAGGGTCTCGAGGTTTGAAGGCTTTGGGTTTAGGGTGTTGGACAGGGCTTCAGGAGTACGGCTTAGTAGGGTTCAGTGCTTGGGGAGCTTAGGGCTTTGGGGAGCTTTGGGCTTTGGGGAGCTTTGGGCTTTGGGTTTACTGGTTTAGGGCTTTGTTGTTTAGGCTTTAGGCAGCTCTGGTGGTGCCGGGGGTCAGGGATTCACGGGTCTGTGGCTGGCCGAGGGCTTCCTTGAGGGTTTCGATTCTGGGTTTAGGGTTTGGGGTCGGGGTTTTTGCTCGCGGTTCAGGGTTTGGGGTCTTGGCTTAGAGTTTAGGCTTGTTGTTCCTTCCGGCTGCGTCGACTCGGTGTGGAGCAAGGATCTGCAGACTGTAAAACAATAGTACGACAACAGCTGGCCAGTTGCAAAACAACCTATTCTGCTGTACTTGCCACATGCGTGTGCCGATCCGAATCCTGTCGGAGTGCCTGTCCTTTATTGCTTTGCTTTTTGGTCCGGCATTCAGTTGAGGGGCCTTGAAAGTTGGAATAGGGTGTCGGTTAAGACTTCTTGCATGGGTGACTGTCGAACTATTGTGGTGGCTGCAAATACAGCAGACTCCATCTCAATGTTTGTGGTCAGGTGCCGAAACTTCTGTTCCGTGTTCTTCCTGGTGGGTGCATCCTAGGCCTTAAACCCTAAAGCCTATGAGTGTTCCAGTCAGATCGTCCGAGCGGCGCCGCATCGACTGAGACCACGGGAATTAAGGATTTCGATAATGTTAGCCAGTTTCACACGGTAGCCACCCCGTTGCCTGAACGAATGTTGCATCCCACGAGTGCCTTGAGACAGTGTGTTCTTTCACGGTGTCTGGCAGCCCCGATTAGCCGGAGCCAGCTAAAAGCTTTTTCGAGTGGTGAGCTGATGGATAAACCCTGAACCCTAAACCCTAAACCCTAAACCCTAAACCCCTAAACCCTAAACCCTAAACTCTAAACTCTAAACCCTAAACCCTAAACTCTAAGCCCTAAAAAACCTAAACGCCTGGTCGTGCCAGGAAAACAGGCGCTGCCCAAGCAGCCGCCCATCAGACCCGAAATCCTCGAATCCGAGGGAACACCCGCCGCTCGCTCGGCTTGAAACCAACGGTCTCCATGGACGGTTTAGGGTTTAGGGTTTAGGGTTTAGGGTTTAGGGTTTAGGGCTGATACTCGTTGTTACTCTGCTGCGGCTGCTGCTTCTGCTGCTGCTCCTCCCCCTGCTCCCCCCAACTGCTCCCCCTCTTGCTCTTACACTGCTGCTTGCTGCTACTTCTACATTACTGCTACTACTGCTGCTTCTGCCTCTTCTACATTACTACTGCTACTGCTCCTTCTACATTACTACTACTACTACTACTACTACCACTACTACTACTACTACTACTACCACTACTACTACTACTACTACTACTACTACTACTACTATTACTACTACTACTACTAGACCATGACTACTACTATTATTACTGCTGCTCCTGCTGCTGTTGCTGCTGGTGCTGGTGCTGCTGTTGCTGCTGCTGCTGCTGCTGCTGCTGCTGCTGCTGCTGGAGCTGCCGCTACTGCTGCTACTGCTGCTACTGCTACTTTTGCTGCTGCTGCTGCTGCTGCTGCTGCTGCTGTGGCTCTGCTGGTACTACCTCTGCTACCACGACGACGACCACTACCACAACCAATTTCTACCACCAATTGCTACCGCCGAGTACCACCACCAGTTAACACCACCACCGCCTCCATCATCATCATTGGTGACGGCTGCTACGAGGGATGCCTTACTAAAACAACCCGAAGCGCTCAGAGAGTAAAGCCCTCACACTGAGGCTCCTGCCGGTGAGCCTGTCCCCAAAAAGGAGGCCTGGGGTTCGGGTTGTGCTGTGAGTTTCAAGGGTTCGGGTTTGATGGGGTTTGGACCGGTGGGCGGTGGGGGAGGGTTTGCCATGCTTGTGTATCATGCTTGGAGCTTTTGCTAGAAAGATACTGTTTGTGTGCGCACCGGAGCGGAAGCAATGAAGTTCCATCCGTTTTTGTAAAGCATTCGCTCTCTGCTGCTTGATTGAATTCTTCCTGCAGGACGAGGACGCGGAGAGCGAGACAGAGAAAGAGGAGGAGAAGGATGACGAGGACGAGAACGAAGACAACGAGGAGAAGGTAGAAGCAGAGGAAAAGGAAGACGAGAAGGAGGAGGATAAGGAGGAAAAAGACGAAGAGGAGAAGGAGGAGGAGGAAGATAAGGACTGCTCATCTGTAGTCTGGCAATCCTTCGGTGTCCTTTTGGTCAGAAACTCTCGATCAAGTGATCTCCTATTTGTGCAGCCTTTTGCAGATGTTCTCATGGAGCATGTCTTCGGGTATGAGAGATATGTTGGAGTTCTACCTGCTGAAACCACCGTTGCTCGAATCTACTCGCAGCCCTGCTCACCTGTTGTCCCCCTTCCCTTCCCATATCCTCCCGTACCCTACCTGGTTTTATTATCAGAGCCATGGACGGCCATGTTGGGCAACTCGTTCTTTCCCGCTGCTCCCAAGCGGAGCAGCCACTGGGATCTATCAGCCATGCATCTCTGCATCTTGCATGGGGCTGTGATCTTTGTTGGTTTAGTGATAGCCTTGAGCTTCGTGGTCTCCTTTGGCGGTTGGCATAATGTCCATCCCGGTGGGTTTCTGATAGCTCGATGGCTGTGAAGTTTCAGCGTATCATCTTTCGGTAGTACTTGTGGCTTTACCAGGGTTCTCATCTTGATGTGTAAGACCTTCGAGTTGAAAACTCTGGATTGAACAGTGTCTAGAACTAGATAAGCAGGTAGTGCACCTAGAAAAACTGAAAAGCGCGGCGTGGCCCCCTGTGTACGGCATTTTGTTTATAGCAAACGCCACTCTTCAGCATCAGACCCATGCTCGAAATCCTAAGCCCTGAACCCAGCATCGAAACTAATATAGTGGCCTAAATAAATACCAGTACTATTACTATTCCTAAATAAATACCAGTACTATTTTTTTTTGGGGGGGGTTCTTATTATAATCAAAGTATAACATCCCATGGCCCCTACATGACTTGGAAACCCTAAATCTTGAACCCGAGGACCATCCCTGCTTTAACATCAGGGACCCTTCCCCAAACTTCACGGCCCCTACAGTAGGCCCTACAGCCCCATCCCATCTTTCGGAGATTTTCATAGAGGCATTTCTCTGAGTTGAGGTGCTCTACCCGAAAGAGTGATAAGAGTGCCAAAGTCAGGACTCCCAACAGGGCCCCCATCTCCGGCAGCATCCGACACCCTAAACCCTGTGGTGTCAACCCATCCCTAGCCCTGAAGCTCTTACAAACCCAAAGTTTTGGACTCATTAACCCCAAATATACCCCAAAGCCCTTCCAAGCTCTAAACCCGAAAGCCTGTTTTTCATAATCATCTAATCCCTAGGCCCCAAGCCCCAAATCCTGAACCGCAGACCCTAAACCCTAAACCCCTGAGCCCCAAACCCCTAAACCCTAAACCCTAAACGCTAAACCCCCAAACCCTAAACCCCTAAACCCTAAACCCCTCCCCCTTTCTTGGCCAAGGCTGGCAGTGCGCATCTCAAGCCGCGGATCGCTCGCGATGGCGATGTTGGCCATGGAGGAGCTGCTTCAGGGTTTAAATACTATAGGTATATAGGTTTAGGGTTTATGGTTTAGGGCTTAGGGCTCAGGGTTTTGGTTTTCCGGTTTGGGGTTTAGGGTTTATGGTTTAGGGTTTGGGGTTTAGGGTTTAGGGTTTTGGGCTTAGGGTTTTGGTTTTCGGGCTTGGGGTTTAGGGTTTTTGGTTTAGGGTTTAGGGCTTAGGGTTTTGGTTTTCGGGCTTGGGGTTTAGGGTTTAGGGTTTAGGGCTTTGGGTTTTGGTTTTCGGGCTTGGGGTTTAGGGTTTATAGTTTAGGGTTTAGGGTTTAGGGTTTGGGTTTTAGGGTTTATGGTTCAGGGTTTGGGGTTTCGGGTTTGGGGCTTGGGGTTTGTGGCAATGGTGGAAGGTAGGGGTCTTCATGCTTAGATCAGGGTTCGTTCAAGGGGTACAACGTAGGAGGCCTTGATGGCTTAACCTAGTACACGATACCAGGGATAGATAAGGGAGTATAAGGCGCTTCTATAGTACAAGTGGTAGGAACTTGCCCAGACCCCTGTATTGGGGCTACATAGGGCCCTGGTTGGGTGCAGCGTTTTGCAGTGTTGCTGGTAGGTTTTTATTTGTTTATAGCGCTTTACAGGCTGAAGTTTAGGGCTTTAGTGAGCTCAGATGGAGTTGAAGGCTATACCTATCTGTACAGATATGTATCTATACCTATATCTGTGCTACACTTACATCTATTCCTAATATATACATCTATATTCGTATCTGTATCTATACCTAAATCTGAGTCTGAAACTTTATCTACTGTACATCTACCTATACCTGTATCTGTATCTATATCTATATCTGTACATACTGGCATATGTATATCAATATCTGCATATTTATCTAGATACCCATCTAGATCAATTTCTATAACTGTATCTGTATCACTATATCTATGTCAATGTCCGTATCTGTACTGTTGTCTATCTATATCATATCCGTTGGTACCTGTTGATACTTGCATATGTATATGTTTATGTATATGCTTTTCTATATCCATATTCATATGTGCACCTGTATCTGTATCTGAGCCGACATGTTTGTTTACATGTACATCTACATGTAGATCGAAATCGGTACCTATATCCATGCCTGCACCTCTGTTTATTTCTTTGTTTGCATCTGCATCATCCATGTCGATGTGGGTGGCTATGTCTATACTAACTTCGCCATATCTATGTACATGTAAATGTACAGATACATCTTTTGAAACCGATAGGGATAGCCAGCGAGCTGTCACTGTCTGCAGGAGTTGCGGCTCGCTACGCTGCTTAGCTGGAAGAGCGTCGGAGCTTTAGGGTTTAAAGTGCTGGCTGCGAGTTTGAGGATTTGGAGCTTTGGATGAGTTTAGGAGTTATGGTTGAGGGGGAGCTATAGGGTTCAGGGTAGTTAAGAGTTACCGGACAGAGAGATGAGGGATTTTGGGTGAATGAAAGCCTATCGCACGTAGAGGCAGGGACGAGTTTAATCAACGCATGGAAAGTTGTACCTGAATGTGCCGCAGTTCATAAGCCTTACACCCTGACCTGCAAGGACCCTCAACCCTAAAGTCCTAAAGGCTTGAAGTTCCAGCCTATGGCTCTTGGTCGCTAAAAAAGCAGGCCAGTGTGCAGATATGGGGACAGTCTCAGCTGCCCAGCTTGTGTTCCTTTCGTCTGCACCACCACTTGGAGGTTCATGGGTAGTTATAAGTGGGGTTATAAGTCCCCTATATGGGTTATAACTATAGTTACCTTACTTATAACCCCACATATAACTACCCATGAACCTCCAAGCAGTCATCAGGTCTTGCCTTTCTGCGCCCATAAAGAAGCTCTGCCACCTTCTGCAGCAGCTGCCCCTGCGACGTCTGAGCCTACAGGGCGTGGAGAAGCTCCTCGGCCCGGGTCGGGCTGGTGGGTTCGGATTTTAAAACAATCCGCCGTGTAGTCTCTATAGTACTATCGTATACTATACCTCTAAAGCTGTGCTGGAATTATCAAGGTTCCCTGCCCTATTCATGAACTGATGGTTGTGATGGCCACCGCTACCAGTAGCAAGTAGATGAGATGATGCGGACACAACGCTGCATAGAGAAGTGTTACCATGATGCTACTGACTTAGTAGCATGACTCTGCTTTGGCTCATGCACCAACAGTTCAAGAATAGACTGTACCAGAAAGGGGGGCAGAACGGTACGAACATACCATTACACCGAGAGTTCGAGTACTAGTATGAGACTTGGTGACAAGAGTAGCAGTCATGACGACCATGGCGACGACAAGGATGGTGACAATGGAAAGATGGCCAGAATGATGAGTATCAGAATGCTGGTCAGGGCTGTGATGATGATGGCGATGTTGATGGGCAGGATGCAACTGAGGGTGATGGTGATTTTGGTTATCATGGTCGGGATGATCATGGTGATGGTGCAGAAGAAGACGATGCTGATCATGACAATAGCGGCGAGTGCTCTGGTCGTAGTAACCGTGATATGAGGAGAGTCGAAACGAAGACGTTCACGGCGATGTTGACCAAGTAATGATGACAATGGGAGAAAGACGATTAGCGAGACCAGGACTCTGCTGCTAGTGACTGCTAGTGCTGCTGTGCCTCAACCTACCATGACAGTCATCATCGCCGGCAAGACTCTCACATGACGCAAATTTGAAAGCTGTGCCCTCCAACATCATACCCAACACACGTGCGCGGAACGTTTCGAGACCCCACACCTGCTGAACCAAACTCCCGAAACATCACCACTGAACTGAGGCTGTCAGTGAAGGCTTTGGAGGAGTTGTTGCAACCTGACTCCAAAGAGCTTCTTGTGTGGTCTACATCGTATTTACGGGGGTGTTATCAAGGAAGTTTCGGGTGGTGTCAGAGTGGGGCGTTAGGGAGTCAGTATTGATTGCGGCGACTTATCATCACATCCGCTTAGTGTTGTGAGGAGAGGTCCGGGCTGGCGGACAAGAGTGTTTAGGGATTAGGGTTTAGGGTTTAGGGTTTAGGGTTTAGGGATTAGAGGTTTAGGGTTTGCTTGGAGGACTCTTATAGGAACCCCAAACCCCTCTACAAGCCCTGAAGCCTCCCGACACCCTACACCCTAATCCCTAAACTCCAAAACCCGAAACGCTAAACTCTAAACCCTCAACCCCTGAACCCTAAACCCTGAACCCTAAACCCTAAACCCTAAACCAAAAACCCTCATCCCTGAACCCTGATTTTCTTGAGCCCTAGTCTCTAAACCTTAGAGCTTGCCAGGCGAGTGGTGCCTCGCTGCCAAGAGTGCGACGTGCGATTTGCCTTGCCGCTTCCCTGGCCGACTTTGGGAACATGGCTGGAAGGTCCGCGGGGTTTAGGGTTGAGGGTTTAGGGGTTTAGGGGTTTAGGGTTTAGGGTTTAGGGGTTTAGGGTTTATGGTTTAGGGTTTAGGGTTTAGGGTTGAGGGTTTAGGGTTTAGCAGTTGAGGGTTTAAGGTTTAAGGTAGGGTCTGCCCTAAGCGTTTGAGGAGGGTTAGGGTTTAGGGATTTAGGTGTTCAGAGGTATAGGGTTAAGGCAGCATCGGAAGATTGCCCCAAACCCGAACGCCCGAACGCCCTAAGCCCC